GATGACTTTGAACTTCTGATCCTCTTGCCTTTTATAGGCATATGCCACCACCATGCCTGACTCTTGAGTACAGCTTCTCAGAACATGCTTGGAAAGGATGTTTTTCCTTTCTGCCTATTGACAGACTAAGACAGCATCTTTTTTTTTCTTTCTGAGTCTGTATTTATTTCACTTAATAATAATATACAGTTGCACCCATTTCCTTACAAATGATAAAATTTCATTCATGTCTTTTTTAATTAATTAATTTTTGTTTTTTTTCAAGACAGGGTTTCGCTGTGTAGCTTTGCGCCTTTCCTGGAACTCACTCTGTAGCCCAGGCTGGCCTGGAACTCACAGAGATCCACCTGCCTCTGCCTCCCGAGTGCTGGGATTAAAGGCATGCGCCACCCCCGCCCCCAGCTGGGAGGAGGTCATAAATACAGGCTTACAGCACAATGGGAGAAGTTTGCTATTGATGTTTTACAATCTTGTATCTAAGCTGTTAACGCCCATTATTCAGGATACACAGACAAAGAACTTCCCTTAAGCATTCAGGAGGTTGAAACCCGGGAGTGAATCAGCTTAGGGAGGATGTCAAGGTCAAGGTCAGCAAGCAAGGCAACAGTTACCCAAAACGGGGGCCAGGACCCTACAGGTCCCCCTTTTACTAATAAATGAGCTTCTGACTTAGGTTGCGTGGGATGTCAGCAGGTCACCTTACCCGTCATGGAGACGCCTGTCCAGGCCACACAGGTGCTCTGCTAAGACAGCATCTTAACACTGATTACCCAGCAGAACTGGGCCCCTCCAGTGGGTGGCAGCTTACAAGTCACAGAAGTTCTCTAGATCTGTTTTCTCATCTGAAAGCTACAGATTTAAAGATATCCATATCCTAGCCTCATAGACATTGAAAAATTTGCCCATGTTAGGAAAATATGAGCAAATTAATACCAGGGTTCATTCAATAATGAGGTGCTCTCCCCCATTGCTGGACCGTAAGTGGTAGATTTGTATTATGAGTAGGGGACAATCTGTACAGCTCTTGGCACCATGTAGAAATCATGGTTAACTGCTAAAATGCCTGTATCTAGAATATGGTTCAGCCTTCTTGCAAACTCACCCCTCACCTCTCTCGGGGGGTGGGGGAGCTCTTCAAACACCCTCATCTCTGTCTGGGAAGTGGACAGTGGGGCTGCAGTTCACACTTCCATACTCTCCACAGGCCTCAAGTGCTGCTTAACACACGCCAGCTGCTGAGAGAGAGGACGTCAGATGTTAGAGCTACAAAATGCTGAGTCTAGGCATATGTGTTAAAAAGTGAGGATATCTGTTAGCCAAGGACAAGTGCATCTTGCTAGGTAATGAGAAGCTCTCCAGTGAGCTGGTCCAGCACAGGGGACAGCAGTTTTTCTTAGGCGTATTTTCCAGGATGGCCTTCTAGAAGGAAGGAACAGGGCAGTCAGATGGGGAAGACAGGCCAGCAAAGCCTGCCTTCTGTAGCAGACAGACTTGGAGAAATGGCTTTTCATGCTCATGAATCAGGACTAAGAAAGAAGTCATCGTAAGAAAAATAATCAAAATCTGAGTTTGGGGTTTATTTTCAGACTAGACATTGAAGAAAGGTGGGGTTGTATCATCGTAGCCCTCCTCCCCTGTAAGCTAAATAACATCGATTTGTGTGGGCGGAGACACTGAAACAGGGTCTCTCTATGTAGCTCTGGCTGTCTTGGAACTCACAGAGCTCCACCTGCTTCTGCCTCTTGAATGCTGGGGTGAGAGACATGCACCCAGCTCTCTAAATAACATCCTTTTAAAAGATAAATGTAGGGAGCTGGGCGGTGGTGGCGCATGCCTTTAATCCCAGCACTCGGGAGGCAGAGCCAGGCGGATCTCTGTGAGTTCGAGGCCAGCCTGGGCTACCAAGTGAGTTCCAGGAAAGGCGCAAAGCTACACAGAGAAACCCTGTCTCGAAAAACCAAAAAAAAAAAAAAAAAAAAAAAAAAAAAAAAAAAGATAAATGTAGGGGCTAGAGAGATGGCTTAGTGCTTAAGAGCACTTACGGCCCTCACAGATGACTCAAGTTTGGTTCCTAGCACCTACATGGCAGCTCACAACCATCTTTAACTCTATTCCCAGGGGGATCTGACACTCTTTTCTGACCTTTGCAAGCACTAGGCATATGTGCAGTCCACACACATACACACAGGCAAAACACTAATTCACATAAAATAATAGTCTTCAAAACAAAGCTAAACATATGTCAGTGGGAATCAGATAAAAACCAGCAGGTCTTATGACCTTTTGATCCAGGGTTTTGTTGAGAGTATCCTGTAACAAGAGTGAGAGACAACAGACGACCAAGTATTTTTGGTCAGAGAAGCAGATCCAACATCCTCTTCTATTTTGTTCATTAACATCTGCTGGCATGGGGTGGGAGGAACTTGGGTGGTTCTGAAGGTTTGTCCAGTGGGTGGTCTCCATTCTGCAGCACCATTTTCTAAGCTCATGGGCTTCGGTTTCCTCTTAGCACTCAAAGAGGGGGACTTGTAGACAAATTTCTAAACAGTCTTTTGAGACAGGGTTTCTCTGTGTAGCTTTGTGCCTTTCCTGGAACTCACTCTGTAGACCAGGCTGGCCTTGAACTCACAGAGATCGCCTGCCTCTGCCTCCCACGTGCTGGGATTAAAGGTGTGCACTACCACCGCCCGGCTTTTAAACAGTCTTATTACATGAGAAACACAGAGCCAAATACAGAGATGCAAGCCGTAGAAATCAGAGCTATAGCCGCCAACTAATCTTAGCTTACTACCTCGCCTTAGCTTCCCAAGAGAGCATCTTCCTGTCTAACCTATGCCTTTATTACCTTGCTGTTCTGTTTTCTCATTGGCTCTAAGCCCAGCCTCTTCACTTCCTCCTCACTGCCTATCTATATAGACCTCCAGGTCTCTATGGTTGGTACTGGGATTAAAGGCGTGTGTCACCACACTTGACTGTGTCCTTGAACACACGGAGACTCTGTCTGTCATGTGATCGGATTAAGGGCATGTACTACCACCGCCTGACTTCTGTTTATGACTGACTATGACCTCTGATCTCCAGGCAAACTTTATTTATTAACATACAAATAAAATATCACATTTCAGCACAAATAAAATATCACCACAGGGACTCATATTAGAGAAGTCCTTACCTTTAAGAGTGAGTGTGTGTGTGTGTCTGTATGCTATGTATGTGGCTGCCAGTGGTAGCCAGATGATGGTATTAGACCCACTGCAGCTGGAGTTACATGTAGTTGGGAACTACCTGATGAGTGTGCTGGGAATTGAACTTGGGTCCTCCGGAAGAGCAGCAAGTACTCTTAGATACTGGACCATCTCTCCAGCCCCTAATAGTGCCTTATCTATGTGGAGAAGAAAGCTGTTGTAGTATTTTACTGTTATTTAAAGGTGATTCCTGTGTCAGCTTCATCTGAATGGGGACCTGAGCCTGTGTAAGAAGGCTCAGGACTCTTCAGAAAAGGACACCCTAATTAGAGTGGTGGATTGAAGCGGGAGAAGAGAGGCTTTGCTTTAGGGAACATTTTCCCTGCCTCAAAGCCACCCGGCAAAGTTTGTCTGCCCCTAAGGTTTATTTTATGTCCAAACATAAATGACTGACTCATTGACATAACAAATCCTGTATACATATGGCCCCTCCTCACCATAAGCAAAACTGACTCTTGGTGTGGTTTGATTTTTAGTGAAGGTAGAAATTGACATTAAGCAATTATTGTATAATCTATGTCAAATTTCAATTTAAGTATCTTTTAAAATTGAATTATTTTTGAAAATAAAGTCTTTTTATTAGTTATTTTTATTATTATTATTTATTTGATTTATTATTTTTATTAGTTATGTAACCATAACTAGTCTGGAACACCCTATGTAGGCTGGCCGTGAGCTTTCTTTCGATAATCCTCCTGCCTCTGCTCTCCAATTGCTAGGATTACAAGCATGCACTGCCACACCTGGCTATGAATCATATTTTCAATGGAAAATTTAATGAGTTCATTTGTATTTTTGAGACACAGTATCCCGCAGCCCCGGCTGGTCCAGAGCTCTCTATGTAGTGGAGGGTGACCTTGAACTTCTGATCCTCCTGCCTCTACCTCTTCACCACATACAGGAGCATACCACTGTGTAAGTCAATCTTCCTTTTCCTTTTTTTTTGGTCCCGGGGATTAGACCCAGAGCTTCACATGTGCTAGGCAAAGTCCCTATTACTGGGCTACACTCCAAGCTAGGGCCTTCTTGAACGGTGCATTTTGACAGCATCTTCGGTAGTTCAGAATGGTCTCAAATTTCCTTTGCAACTGAGTCTGTCCTTTCATGCCTCATCTTTCTGCCTCCATCTTCCAAGTACTGGGGTTATTGGCATGTGCCTCCACTCCATCTTCTTCCTCCTCCTCCTCTTCTTTTTCTTCCTATCTCAGAGTTTTCTGGTTGTGAGAACCAAGATTATAATGAGACGTCCCTAAATTTCCAGACAGAGGAGCTGATAAAGACACAACTTAGGGGCGGTGGTGGCGCACGCCTTTAATCCCAGCACTCGGGAGGCAGAGCTAGGCGGATCTCTGTGAGTTCGAGGCCAGCCTGGTCTACAAAGTGAGTTCCAGGAAAGGCTCCAAAGCTACAGAGAAACCCTGTCTCGAACAACAACAACAACAACAAAAATAAAATAAAGACTGTCATTTTTGCCGGGCGGTGGTGGCGCATGCCTTTAATCCCAGCACTCGGGAGGCAGAAGCAGGTGGATCTCTGTGAGTTCAAGGCCAGCCTGGGCTACAGAGCGAGATCCAGGAAAGGCGCAAAGCTACACAGAGAAACACTGTCTCGAAAAACAAAAAACAAAACAAAACAAAAAAAAGACACAACTGAGAGTGTGGGATGGTCTTAATTCAGATGAAGTGTTTCCTAAGGACTATGAGGAAGAAGGGGGCACCTCTGCTGCGGGGAAGGGGGGGGAATGTTACCTGAGGGCCACGAGGGGGCGCAGTGGTACAGTAAATGAGAGGAGACCAGCGTCGGAAGTTACCTCAACTCCCATCTCCCTCGAGACGTGGGACAGGCCACTTAATCTCGTTCTGGGTCAGTTTTCGTATCTGCAAAATAGAGATATTCTTTTCTCACTGTATTTTGATGAGACTTAGATATGATAAAGTTCAAAGCATTCTTAAAAAGTGCACTGTGGCCATGGAAATCAATGTGCGGGTAAGGACTGCCAAGATTGGAAGCGTAAAGGGCAAGGTGGAGAATTGCAGTATCCTGGGGCTTGCGAGTGAATTTTAATTCAAATATTTATAAGAGGCGTCTGAATATTTGCTTCAAAGATAAAGGGTCACGGTTATCTTCAAAGAATAATGTTTGGGGAGGTTTCTACTTCTCATATTACATCTATTAAAAAGAGAAATGGAATCTGGGTAATGGGATTATAGACTTTGTTTTCTCTATTATTTCCTCTTTAAAAAGATACACGTGTTTTTCAAGAATTACAGAAAGGTCCTGTGGTGGATGTTTTTGATGAAGTAGAGATGTTGTTGGTGAAGCGTAATCATGACCCCCAGAGAAAGCAATGCTTTCCAGGAAGAGCTCCCTGAGGATGGGAAGTGCCTCAGGCTCATGTCTTGGCATCCCTTGAGTGTAACCAGCTAGGCGACAGGTTTTCCCTGCTAAGAAATCCCCTTCTCTGCCATAACATTTCTGGAAGAACACACAGTTGGATGTGCTTGGGGGAATTACCTGATGCTTGCACTAGAGCATTGTTATAGAAAATCCTCCCTTTCCCAGGGCCCTCCTTTGGTCTCATTTCTTACCTCCCTTGTACCTTCTCCTTTGCTGATCTTGTTCTCCCCAGGGCCTCTCCCCTATTTCTCTCTATCAGTGTGCATGTGTGCGAGCATGAATATGTAAACCACAGGACAGCTGTGGGTAATATTCCTTAGGTGTCATCCAACTGTTTTTGTTTTTTTGAGACAAGGTCTATTTTTCCTCCTCCTCTTTCTTCTTATTTGTTTGTTTTTCGAGACAGGGTTTCTCTGTGTAACAGCCCTGGCTATCCTGGAAATCACTCTGTAGACCAGGCTGGCCCCAACTCAGAGATCTGCCTGACTCTATCTCCCAAGTGCTGGGATTGAAGGCCTGTGTGCCACCACTGCCCAGCTTGAGACAGGGTCTCTTAATGGCCCAAAACTCTCCAAGTAGACTAGGTTGGCTGACTAGTGAGTCTAGGGATCGATCCACCTGTCTCTGCCTCCTCAGTGCTAGGATTACAAATGCAGGCTATCATATCCTGCAATTCACCCCCCTCCCCACCCCTGCTCCCCTGGGGAATTGAACCCAGGTATTTGTTCTTAAAAGGCAAGCATTTTACTTACCAAACAACCTCCTTAGCCCCTGTGGTGATTCCTTAAAAATCTATTTGAACCAGGACTCAATTCATGATCTGGATTCTGATGCTTGTATTCTTGTGGGGCAGATAAGCAGCCAGAGCTGGAAACCATGTGATCTTGGGGAGGCATAGTGCCAGGATGACTTCAGAAGTGGTGGTGGTGTCTTCTTCCATCAGGAAGCTTGTAAAGCCTTGTGAGATATTAATAGGTGCTGATGATCAGTAATATTAATGAATGAATGAATAGATGCACTAATTCATTACAGGTCCTCAAATGCTGATGTGCATAGATTAGCTAGAATGCCCTCTTAAAGGAGACATTTACCCTCATTTACTAGTGGGGACTCCGTGGAGCACTTCAGACGGAAGAGGCAAGATAATCTCCCCCCTTTATTTACAAGTCTCAAAATAGTGACTTTTTCTCCTCTCCTCTCTCAGTTTTGAGTTCTTCATTTGTGATTTCTTTGTGAGTCTCATTATAAACCCATGTTTCAGCGTGGCAGGTGTGTCCAGGGGATCTCAGCTGCTAACACCTGTGTTTTGTTGTTATCATTCTCCCCCCTCCCTCTTTTCAAACCAACAACCACCACCGGCTTTTTCAGACTCGTCATTGGCATTTACAGAGCTAAAGTCAATGGTCAAACCCGAGGCTTCGTGTTTTTGCAAAGTTAAAAAAAAAGAGATCAAAGTTATTCACCTAAAATCAGGAACAAGACAAGGCTGTCTGCTCTTACCATATCTATTCATTATAGATCTGGAAGTCTTAGATAAGCAATAAGACAACTGTGGGAGATCTAGGGGATACAAATTGGAAAGGAAGAAGTCAAAGAATATTTATTTGTAGATGATGTGATAGTGTATGTAAGTGGGCCAAAAAAAAAAAAAAAGAGAGAGAGAGAGAGATCTAATTTATATACCATAATACTCACTTTTCCAAAGTGTGTAATTTAGTAGTTTTTTTTTTTCTTTCTTTTTTTTTTCGAGTCAGGTCTCACTTTGTAGCCCAAGCTAGTCTTAACTGCATGGTCCTCCTGAGTGTTGGGCTCCTTGCTACACACCACCACATCCAGCTAAATTTTTAGTTTGTTCACAAAACTTCAGTCACATCAGCACTTTCTAACCCCAGAACATTCTCCTAATCTCCAAAAGAAACTTGAGATCCACCGTGGATCACTCTAGTTCTTAGCCCCAGCTCCTGGTAACAACGAACAGACTGCCACCTGCCTCCTCCTGACATCTTCTGTAATGGAGTGAGTCATTGTGCGCATGATCTCGAGTTCTCCTCTTGGTCTGTGATAGGCCCTCTTCCTTCATCTGCCTTCCAGAGCATCCTCTCTTTCACATGCCTCCTGGCTTGGGGTATTTCTCTGTCTTCTTCCATGTGTCCTCCTTATCTTTCCGTTCTCTCAGTGTTGGGGAGCCTTTACCCCTCAGCTGAGAGATCTCTTTTTCACAAGCACTCCCCGGGGACCCCTGGGCCCGTGGATTTAAGTGCTGTACATTTGCTATCAACTTCTACACTTGATCTTAGCCAAGAAATGATGTCATCAGTTCCTAAATTTATACCTCTAGCGAGGACTTCCCTCTACTTCAGAACTGTTTGTTCATCTGCTCTCTGGTTCCAGCGGGCATTGCACAACCAGTGTACCCAGCACTGACCTCGGGGGTCATCCTCCTGCCCTCTCAGGTCTTCCTCCCACACACGGTTTCCTCTCTAGCTGTTCAGCTCAGAAACTTTGCAGTCATGCTTACCTTCTTCACACCCTGCCCCACATTGCATCTACATCACAGTCTGCTGGCTCTTCCAAAATTTACCCGGAATCCAGCTCCTCGTCACTGGCCTATCTATTTTCATGCATGGTGTGTGTGTGTGTGTGTGTGTGTGTGTGTGTGTGTGTGTGTGTGTGTGAATATGAATTTAGAGAGGCCTGGAAGGATTCAGGTTTTTACTTTATGGATATCCAGATTTTTTTTTTTTTTTTTTTTTTTGAGACAAAGTCTCTCGCTGAACCCAAGACTTGTCATTTCAGCTACTCTGGCTGGCCACCGAGTTCCCAGGATCTGCCCCTGCCTGTCTGTCTCTGCCTACCCTTCCTCTTCCCCACCCCCATGCTGGAGTTACAGACATGGCTATGCCAGCTTTTATGTGGGTGCTGGGGATTCAAATTCAGATTTTCTTGTCCGCACAGCCAGCCCTCTTACCCATAGACCCATCTCCCTAGCCCATCGGGTAACGCACACACTGCTGACGGGTGTTTCTGCCACTACCTCTACGGATGCTCTTAGTAGCTTTAGGAATTGTTTAAAGACAAGTTGAGTCATGACTGTCTTTGCTAAGAATCATTCACTAGATCACCACATTGCTCAGAATAAAAGTCAAAGTCTGTACATGGTCCTTCCGGCCCTGCGAGCGACGCTTGCCGCAAACCCCATCTTACCGTTCCTGTTGCTGCCTTGATTTCTCTGAGTCGGTCACAGTGGCTGCCTCACAATTCCTTCTCTCGAATATACACCCCGCAGTCTGCTCTTACTGTTCTTTCTGCCTAGAGTGATCTTTCTCCAGATGCCTCAGGTCCCTGTTGTTCAATTCTTCATTTATATGTTACTTAATCAATGCAACCTCACTCTAACTACTTTGATTAATTAATTGATTAGACACAGGGTCTCATGTATCCCAGACTGGTCTCAAACTTGCTACCTAGGCAAAAATGACCTTGAACTTCTGATCCTCCTGTCGCCACCTCCCAAGTGCTGGGGTTACAGGTGTATATCACATACCTAGTTTACGAGGTACTCAAAAACAGAACCCAGAGCTTTGTACATGCTAGGCAACACTTTCCCAAATGGGCTATATCTGCACCCAACATGTCCTTCCTGTTCATAGAAGCAACTTGCTCCTAGCTTTCCCCTGCATTCTCTATTCCACTTTCTGGTCCTTTAACTGTTTTCAAAGCACGTACCAGTGGACACACACACGCTTATACTTCAGTAGGTGCACACCTAGGTGTACACACATATGTACACAATGCACCTACATGTATACACGCACACACCTATTTGCTTTATTGTATTTCTTCCCCATTTACCTGTAGACTTCATGGGTACAGGGGCTTCATTTTGTGCCCTGCTGTATTCCCAGTAACTGGGATAGTTTTACATATATAGTATGTTGTCAGCATATAGAGATACCCCTTCTCAGGCAAACGGCAAGAAGAGAAACACTTTCAAAATTGGTTGCTTTCTGCTTGATGCGCACGGGCTGGCTGTACACCACGTGGCGTGGCAGCAGCCTCCTCTTTACTTCTTATGACACAGCTCCTCCAACCTGTGGGCTCACACAGCGATGATGTCCCCGGGACATTGGTTCTGCACATCTTCCCTGCGGCCTCTGGGGAGTCGACACTCATGCCCACCTCTGAGCTTGACAGAGAAACTGCTCCTCCTTCAGGTGCTTGATTCTCGGGCTGAGATTCCACAAGGAGAGGAGATTATTTGGGGGGCGTTCTGTGTTGCTCACTAAAATCAACCTGACAGGAGCGCTCTCAGCAAGGTTAGCAAGCGTACATAGGAACAGCGGCCGGAACAATGCTGCTTACCGTGGAATTACAAAGAGATTTCAGAATGCAATGCCTGATCGCCGGACTGTGGGACTGGGGTCCTCTTCTTTTTTTCTCCCTGCCCCGTTTCCTCCCTCCCACCTTCTCTTCCTTCTCCACTCGGTTTCTTTCCTGCATCTCGCTTCCTTTCCCGCTGTATACTTCCCTCAACTAGGACACGAAGAGTCAGAGGAACGGGCGAATCTCCAGGGATACAGAGTTAGTGGGGAAATCAGACTCATGTCTCTTGATTCTTATTTCTTTTGGAATCCATTGTGTTACCTTCCCAGAAAACAAGGGCACGGTCAGGAGGATATTGAATGAAACCTTCCTGGAGAATGGAGAAGTTAACCGCCTCGCTCTCAGAACCTTAGATCTAGTGGACAAAGACCGAAAAACCTATCTTTGCTTTAACTTCTCTAATGTTTCTAGATTTTCTCTCTAGCCCTCCAGACTCCTCACATGGCCTTTTATCTTATCTTAAACTATCACACGCCTTAGTGTGTATAAAGCCTAATCTTCTGCGGGCAAGAGAGGATAGAGAAGATCGTTTCAAAATTTATTTTAAAAATTGCTAAAAACCCATTTATAATTATATATATAAATATACGCATTGTATAACTAAAAATTTACATTTTATTGTATAATATAATGTATATATAAAATTATGGCAGCTAATATCTGTTGATCATGCTTTGTGTGACAAGTGCTATTTTGAGACAAATCACAATGAGATACCACTAAGATGATGATAGTAATAATAATAATAATAATAACAATAATAATAGCATTAGACTATAAGTACTGACAAGGATGTGGAGAAATTGGAACCTCACACATTGCTGGTAGCAACACAAGATGTTGTAGCCATCTTGGAAAATAATTTGCAGTTCCTTAGGGTGTTAAAATTACCATGTAACATAGAAATTCCATTTCCCGGTATGTACAAGAGAATTGAAAGCATGCCTTTTCACACAAACTTGTAAACAGATGTTTACAGAAGCATTGTTTCCAGCAGCCTAAGGGACAACACAACCCATATGTCTACGTTTTGATGCATAGATGAAGAAAATGTGGTACATCTTCATAATTTGATTATGCAGCCACAAAAAGCAATGAAGCTCTGACACATGACATTTCAGTGGGCAGTGGATAAAACTTGTTAGCATCATGCTAAGAGAAACAGAAAGGCTGGAGAGTGTATATGAAGTATCCAAATGGGCGTATCTTCGGAGAGTTATTGCCAGGGGATGGGGAAGGAGGAATTGGGAGTGACTGGTCTAGGTACAGGGCTGCTTTTTGATGAGATGAAAAAAAATTTTTTTGAGGCAAAATCCCAAATATCCCAGATTGGCTTCCATCTTGCTGTGTAGTCAAATCTGCCCTGGAACTCTTGATTTTCCTGCCTCCCAAGTGCTGGAATTACAGGAGTGTGACACTACATCTGGCGGGAAGGAAATGTTCTGCAACTGGGTAGTGGTGTATGTTGCAGAACCCTATGATTGTCCTGAACCGCACATTTTAAAATGGTTAAAATGGTGAATCTTATGGTATGTGAATTTTATCTTAATTAAAATTGGCATTCTACAAATTGA